ATATCCATCACCAATGGTGAGACCCATCCTTATCTCAGAGGTGATAGGTTCTCGGATAAGTGATATTTTCACATGTTAACACCCCAAACAGCTCAACGGTGATGAAAAGCTTGGTGGCTGTCTGGGTCTTCTCTACCTCAATATCCACATCCCAGAGATCTGGGGGAAATCTCGTTCATCATTCCACGTTCTCCTCCTGTCCCTCTCAGCTCCAGTGTGTGTGTGTGTGTGTGTGTGTGTATGGACAGGGAGTGGAACCAGCCTCCTTGAGCAGTGACAGCCCTGCTGGCCCATTCTGCATGCTCCTTGGTGCCTGACAAGAACTGAACATGTGCTGGAACTAACTATTATATCTCCAGCGTGCTGTGAGGCTGACAGAGAGATGCAAGATGGATGGGGGATTTAGGGACTCAGTGGTTTCATTTAATCAGAGTGTGTGACACTCCCCTGGACCAAGGCAGAAAATGCCTTACAAAGATGTAAGTCTGCAGAGACGCTGTATCCGTGTGAGTGCACGCATGGGGCACGTGTACACGTAGGCATCTGTGCACACCCAAGTGAGCAGAGCTGACCAGTCCGTCTCACATGGGACCAGTTTGCTCTGAGAGGGGGAAGGCTTCTGTTGTATTGGCTGCTGCAGGAAGAAGCCCCCTGCCCACAAACACCTTCTGCCTCTGGGTTTATGTCGTCCTAATGTTGGCTTCTCCAGTTTGGTTTTCCTGTTAGAATACGATTCCTTGATTGAAATGAGCTTGATAATGTGATCGATTTCCCTCTATGCCTTTTATTCTCTATCACTTAGATTATTGCCTCTGGGGCAAATGCTGTGTCTTTATTTTTTATTTTTTTTCTCTCTCTCTTTTTTTTTCCCCCTTACATAAGTCCCCCAAGCACCATGGGCGCTGAGCAAGTAAATAACCAGAGTTGTGAAATGGAGTCTAAAATGTACAAAACAGTCTCATCTGTCAAAATTTGGACACCAGAGCACAGAGTCAATTATCACATATTAGCTTGCTCTTGTTGGCATTTTAATGCATTTAGAAAAGATTCACTTGCTTTACACACACACACACACACACACACACACACACACAGCCAACTCAGAACACAAGCAAAATTGAGGCTGTTTTAGACAAAACTCAGCTTCCCCCTCAGAGTCGAAAGATTACCAGACACAATCAAGCTAAAATTCTTTTGCTTAAACAAAAAAGATGAAGACCCTGAATAGTCCCTCTCCCAAGCAAACTTCAATCAAACAGTGGCATCCCAAATATAATCTTAGATTTTTAGAAGCATTTTTTCAGACTGTCTTGTGTGATCTTTCCTAAGATGGTAAAGCAGGGCAGACATATCACATGCCCATTTTAAAGGTGAGGAAACTGATACCCAAAAGGGTGAAGAGACTTTTTATCGATGCACAGGGAAGAAGGAAGTGGGGGGGTGTGCGGACAGTGGAGGAGAAGGCAAAAAAGAAGGAAGACACAGAAAGGAAGAAGAGAGGAAGAGAGGGAAGGGGGAGAAGTGGGGAAGAAAGTAGAGAGAAAGGAAAAGTAAAGTATGAAACCATTTTTTAGCAACTAACTCCTCAGCCCCATTTTGATAACATCTGTAGAGACAGAAATGAATAGTTTTAATATGAATCGTGCTAATGGTGATAACAGGAGTGTGGTAGCAAAGCAGTAGTCATAGTAGCAACCAGGGGCAACATTATTGCCTTATCTTTATCTACCAAGTAATTTTCCAGGGCACTTGCAGTGTTTCCTTCATCCTACAAAACCAGCTTCCATCCTACAAAACCATCTCCAGGCACCCACAGAACGGTTACTACAGGTCCCATTCTATGATAAAGAAGCTGAGATGCAAGAAGACCCCCTTTCCTCCAATTGCACAGCATCTGGGGACCACCTTGCATCTTCTCGCTCGGGTGATCCTGTTTTGATTCCCTCATTAGCCGGTGTCACTATGCATAACTAGCAGCTAGTGGATCCCACCCTGTAGGTTCAGCTGCTGTCTTAGGGAGGAAATTTGGATCGGGGGAACCCCAGGTCGGACACAGGTGAGGTAAGCATCAAAGATGAGATCACAGAAAGATGTGTGACATGGGAGGGATCCCACCATAGCGGGCTGGGCTCTCTAAGGGTGGCCCGGCGGAGCCAACTCCCAAGAAAGGGCTCAGTCTAGGAGCAAGGAAGGTGCAGGCTGAGTCTTCTGTTCTGGCTGATGATGAGGTCTCTCCAGTTACGTCTCTCTGCCTCCAGCATCGTATCTCCATGCATCCACAGAAAGAAGTCTCACATTTGGTTTGAGGATGGTGATTTTGATTTTTTGACTGTCTAGATGGATTTAGGTCCCCTGACCCAGAAGAGTATCACCAGGGGCTTCAGTGTGAGCACAGCATGGTAAGACCCACTACCTGCAATGTGATTTGGCAACTCTGCCTTTGGAAAACACAGTCTGCCATTATGGGATGAGGACCCCTTGATCATATCCACCCAGGTAGGCAGTGTGGCTTTATTGATGGCAAGATGTGTCATGAGCAAGGTGGTGGCAGAGAGAAGAACATCCTGTCACCCTCCATGCTTAATTGATGGCATTCAGAAAGAAAAGCAGGACATGGATTTTTAAAGAATCCCAGAGATCCCCATCCTTTCTGCCATTAAGGCATGTTACTTGAGTGATACTAAAGGATAAGGCACATTCTGAGAAATGTTCTGGAGATGATGGAAACAGAATCCAAATGGGCAGTATCACCTTCTGCACAAATGGTGATCCCCATGGAAACCCTTGACTCTGGGGGTGTCAATTAGCAACTGAAAGAAACACCGAACACACATCCCTTTCCTGATTGCTGGAGGCTCCCCAGCCTTCCTGGGTAAGAGATGAGCACAGCAGTTATGACCAGACCTCTGGGCTAATTATTCTTTTAGAAATATGGAGGAATAAAGGGTGGTGGGGCAGGGGGGGAGTAGAGAGAGAAGCGGAGCTGTCAGTGTGCTTGGTGTTAAATAAAACCTACCAAGACTCAGCTGAGAATTTTAGCAGAATCCAAATGTGCTAGGGGAAGAAGGAAACAAAAAAAGGCATGGCTCCCATCTCTAAGGTTCACAGCTAAGCTGGCTTAGAATCACACATGCCAAGGTTAAAAATAAAAAGCAGCCATCCCTGAATGACACAGGCTCTGAGAAGGAAGCCTCAAGTATGTTTGGAGGTGGAGGAAAGAAAGGGGGAGGAGAACCTGGGTTCAGAATTGAGGTGCTTTTTGGAGGACACATCACCTAAAAGTCAGATGCTCAAAATGTTGCTGTTTTATTCTTAAAAGGTACTACACATGGGCAAAAGATTTCATCATAATCTTCAGATTGTCCATCGAGGAAACCCTGGCGTGCATTTGAATGTAGCCGTGGCTGACCCACTCGGGCTGGGTGCTGCTGTCTGGGCATTTGCCAGGGTGGACTGGCTCAGACAGTGTCCTCATACACCTAGATGGGACACACCAGTGGTCTGGTCCCAGCTCAAAAAGCACAATGGGCCATCAGCAGGGGGCCCTACCTGCCACTCATTCCACAAACCAGATAAAATGGTGCTGGGGCCACCCACAGGCCAGCAGTCCTCTGTGTGGCTCCACTGCAGGCAGACTGTGTGTCTGCTTCCTGAGGATAGCATGTGACCCATCCCTAGCCCCTACATCCACAACCACCATAGGCAGAGGCTACTTGGTAAAGGTGACACATTGACCCTTAGTTCCCTCTTCTTGCAAATCCAGGTCTTCCTATGATGAGTCCCATGAGTCTAGTGAAATTGCCCCCTGTCCAATATGCCTATAACCTCCACTGCCTAATGGGCTTACTTCTATAAGAATAAAAGAATCAGCCTCAGCTACTCTTTCAGCTACCAGATGACCCCTCCACACTATGCAGGTGTCTCCAGAATGTCTTCAAGAGGTCAGTAAATGTGAGAATTCTGCAACCATATGTCACGGGGAGTCCATACATTATACCAGCCCCAGGGACGCCCTGACTTAGCCTATGTGTGCTGATCCTACACTTCTGCACCACACAGGGTTTGGGACGGGGGGGGGGGGGGCTGTTACCTTATAGAAGACTCATTGTATGCTCAGACACCCCCAGGCCTGGGTAACTCTGGATCCTGACAGTGCATCAGAGGAGAGGACAATCTACTGTCTGTCCACCCTCTAGGAGACTCCAGTCAGCCTTCATTTGAGGTGCCCTCCTGTATTACGAATTCCACATCCTGAATGCTAAGCGGAATTTCTACACCTTTAAAGCACATTAGCAAAGCATTTGGAAGCAGACAAGGCAAAACCCGGCTTCTCTGCCCACTGGGGTAGACCGGAACGAGGCTGGGAGACTTGAGGGAACTTGCTCAAGCTAAAGACTTGAGTCCAGGCTTCTTTCCATTCCTCCAAAACCACGGACCCAGGTCAGACCTACTGCAGGGGGGTCAGCAAATACCTGGGGCTGCAAACGAGACTCCCTAAGGGTCTTTCTCATTCTTGAGACCTCGGCAGATGCCCTCTCATTCTGACTGAACCCTGGGGACCTCTCCGAAGCAGAGCCCCTACGGAAAGGGGTCTCTGCTTGACTTCTTCACAGAGTCATAGTACAGGGACCAGAAAAGATCCACCTAGGGTCAGGGGATAGGACTGGGGTCAGGCAGCACGTGGCCTGCCCTGCCCTGCCCCTTCCCTGGGATCCCTGCTCCATCCACTCTAAAGGCTGAACCCTGAGCCAGCCCTCCAGTTGCCATTGAGGCTCGCCTGGAAATCTCCCTTTCCTTACGCGGACAAGAGGGAACGCCCTTTGCAGTAATCCTGGGAAGTTCAGGATAAATCCTGCTAGAGCCCCTGACCCGCCACGCCACGTGTTGTCTGAACCCATCCATCAAACTGGGTGAAGGGGAAGAGAAAACTCAGAGATGACTCCAAGGATGGAGGAGATGACTGGAGACCTGGCACAGAGAGAGGGGCTCCCCCTCCTTACCTGTACCAGTCCAGCCCGCGGCCGTAGTTCCTGTCGAAGAAATGGGGCTCCGTACCCAAGGCCCGCACGTCCGGGTGCACGCGGATAAACTCCAGCACGGCCCGGGTGCCCCCCTTCTTCACACCCACAATGAGTGCTTGGGGCAGCCGTTTGGTACCCAGTTTCGGTGAACCAGAGTGGTTGGAAGCGGAGAGTCGAGGGGCGGGCACGGCGGCCGCGGGCGCGCTGGGAGCGCTGGGCTCGCTGGGCGTCGGCCCGTGGGGATCACAGGGGAGGGACTTCTGGAGAAGTTTCTGGCCGCTCGGGCTGGGACCGCGGAGGCAGCGAGGCGCGCCTAGGAGCCGGCTCCGGCCGAGATCGTCGCAGCAGCACAAGAAGCTGTAACACAGGTAAGTGCAGGAGAGCGAGAGCGTGAAGGCGAAGAGCAGCCTGCGCGCCCTCCGCGGCTGAGGTGGCCCCGCACGGCCCAGGACCCTATAGGCCATGGCTCCATGGGCCCGCGCCGGGGGTCATGGTTTCCGAGGGGGCACCTGCGGCGGAGCTGCTGTGGCCCTGCGTCGCCTAGAGGGCTCGCGTGGCTCTGCCCCGGCAGCGTGGGTCGGGTGTAGGGGGCGCCGTCTTCTCCGGGCGCTGCTGGCTGGGGCGCGCACCGTGCCCCGGGATCCCGGGGGCTGCGGCTCCTCGGGAAACAGGCGGCTGCATTCCCAACATCGCCTGGTCCTAGGCGATGGGGCTCCGGGCAGCAGGGCGGCTCCTGGCGCTCCTCGGCTCCTCTGTGCGCTGGGTACAGAGCGCACCCAGCGCCCGAAGCCCCATTCCCGACGCTCGGAGCGCGGCGCACGGAACGCTCGGCGGCCGCGCGATTGTACCGGCTGGAGGGCGGACCGGACGGTGGCGCTGGCGCCGGCCGCGATCCGGCTCCTCGGGAAATGCCGAGCGGAGCGCGCTGCCGGCTCTATTTAAGGAGTCGCCTGACGTCAGCCGCGCGGGTCCCCCGAGCCCGCACCGCGCCCGGGGACCTGGCCCGCCCCCTGCTCCTCCACGGTCTCACTCCTCTCGGGGACACACTACCCCAGGCCCTCTCCATGCAGGCCGCTCCGTGAGGAGCCTGACCAGCGTGGGGGCGGTGATGGAAGGGTGTCTTAGGTTCATCGTGTACTCCGCCGGAAGGCTGGACATCCCTACCACACTGACCTCCCGACACCGAGGGGTAGAACGCAGACTGCGCCAACATCCAGTCCAGACAGAACTGGGAGCAGACGAAAGCACCCCTACCGACCCCGATGCGTGGTTCCACACACGCACCACATACGCAGGAGCTCTTTGACCCGGACACACCCCCACATCACCCTAGGGGATGGGATGGAGAAGAACCCTAATTGTGGCTTAGAAATACACGGGGACACACCCCCTCCCCCGCCATCTCGCCACGCAGACACTCAGAGCCGGGAATCGGACATCGTGCAGTGCGCGCACACACACGCCTGGGACCCGGAGGCACGCTGTAAATGGGATGGGTGGAGGAGCGGAGAGAGAGTGAGATTCCGTGACTACTCATGGAGCTCCTTAGCCCCCCGCGCGCTGACTCACACCCAGGCGGCTCGCTCTGTCTCACACCCGCGAAGCACGCACCTCCACCCCAGTCTCACTCCACCTCTCCCAGTGCCTGGAGGCAGAGCAAGCCCCCAGAGCCGCGGATTCCGCGCCAGGCAGATTCCTCTCTTAGCGGTCGCCCCCTAGCGGCAGACTGCTCCCCGGGGAGTTGTCCAGGTCCTTAAGGGGTAGGTAGGGTGTTCTGGGCTGCTTCGTGCAGTGGATCTGAGAGAGGAGGGAACAAAGGACAGAAAGGACTTATTCAGGTCCAATTCTACTTTGAATGATTCCTAAGCGACAACCGCAGAACCACTGTCAGTGACCATGCCCAGAACAGGCTTGAGTGATTAGCCCAGTGCTGGGAACCACACATATCGCAGAATTGGAACCCTGCGGAAGAACAGATCTGAAATGGCCACCACTCGAAATGTTGCTGAGCTGTCTCTCAACGAAGCCAAAAGACCGTGTAGGGTGTTTCCAAAGTGGTGACCACTGCCACTCCCATGCTCCGTTCAGGCTGTGACTGACTTCAGGGCATAACCTGATCTTAAGGACATGTGGATTTTAACTCAAAACCCAGGAAATATTTTGTCCCCAAACCAGGCATGTCCATAGGGACCTTAGATCATTCCCTCTACTGTAGATAGTAATCATGGTTACCAACTTTATACAGAGCACGTGGCACATGTTAACTGGTTCAATATTTACTACTACCTATGAGTCTGTTACCTTTGCTCTCCCTTCATTTTGCTTGCTTAGTTCTAATAATAGCTAACATTTATCAAGTGCTTGTGTTGTGTCTTTAATGTACCAATCACTTGACATGCTCTCTACATCATTCATCTTTGGAGATAGGTGCAATTCCTAATCCACGGTGAAAAGGAGGTTTAATGAACACATTCTCAGTAAATTGGCAGAGCTGAGATAAAACCAGGGCAGTCTGACTCCAAGATTCAAGCTCTTAATTACAGTGTTCGAAAGCCCCCTTATCTTCCTTTGACCCTTATTCACATAATTCCATCCAAAGCTCCTGACCTGGATGTGAATGAACTTGTCTTTCATAATCAGACACCTGGGCCTGAATGAGGAATTCCAGGTGTACACTGAAAAGTTCAACAGGACCCTCACCTCCTTTCTGCAAACTCTATTTCTAGTAATACCACCTAAGACCCCATTATCTTTTTCTGGTGGATCCATCACATCATGAACATCTCAAGCTTGTAGCCAAGTAACCTCTCTCTCAGTTCTTCCTTCAAGTGCTGCTGATTAAGGCACATCGACCCCATACTGTTTTTTTGTACAGTGGGGCTTTTTTGGATCCAACACGTAGGTCCTTACACATTTGACCTGATTAAATTTTATCTTGTCTCATCAGTTAACTGCTCCAGTTTTTAAAAGGAAAAAAAAAAGTCTACTTGAATCTCAGGACATGATGTAGCCTTCACATATTCAAAAAGAAAAAGCAGAAAGATCACATCTCACTTTTACCCTTGATTCCAGGGATACTTTGCCCTCTTTTGAGCCTCAGTTTCCCTGGCTACAAAATAGGGACTTAGGAAAACCCTCCAAAATCTTATGGGGTTCTGGTAGTGTAATTCTCTGCTCCTGTGATTCCATTACCCAAAGCATGAACCAGTCTTCTGACATGTCCTCTCCACATTTGATTACAATTTAATTAATTCTTCACTCAAATTGTTAATAAAAATGTCAAAACAAATATGTTGAAAGGAGTTCTAATATCTACTTTCAACAATTTTTCACATCATGAACCTGTTATTTCCGCACTCCATTGTTAAAATTGCAAGGTTAAACATAGAGTAATCCACTCTGACAAGTGCTTTTTTTTTTCTAGAGAAAAACACGGATATGGTTATTTCTCACGATTTTGTGCTCAACTGAATTTTAAAATTATTTTAATCCTTGAACCCATAAAGTCTGAAATTCCCAGATACACCAAAACCAGGCAGGTTTTTTCTTCCTCAAATTTTCAACCATGACAATTAGATAATTGGTATACCCAAATCCCTCCACTACCACCACCACATAACACCTGGATCATTTTATAGGAGCACCATGATTCTCCTTTGGGAGTATCAGGTAGGATTATGTTGAGTTGTGGGGTTTGTCAAATAACGGTCATTAAACAAAATATATGTTTATTTTTCTATCCCATGAAAATGATCGACAAAGGTGATTCAGGAATGGTATAGAAACTAGCTCCACAATGTTAGAAAACAAGTCTCCTCCTATCTTGCCGTTCCACTGTGTGCTTTTTTCTTCCAAAGTCACTGGTATGCTAAGATGCCATCCTGTTCACATTCTGACCATCAGTAAGGAAGAAAGGGGTACAGAAAGCCGTATTTAAGAGCCTTCCTTGGGAAAAAATCTGTGTTATTTTCACCCATCTTCAAATGATCACAATGCTTTTGCATTTCTATCTTCAAGATATCCTTCAGAATGTAGTCTTGATTTGGGGTCTCGCCATGCCTGGCTAAATCTTGGAGCTTTTTGTTACCAAGGAAGAATTTATGAATGATTATAGAAGGCAACTAGTAATCTCTGTCATTCTTTGGAAAAAAAGCTTCCCCCTGATTTTTTTCCCCACGTGGGTTGTGTGGCTTGAGCCTACTTCAAAGAGAGCCTATGATCAAACCAGGTGCCCTCATTTTATAATCATATTTCAATGATTGACAGTAACTCAGATTTTTCCAGTGAGAATCAATCACAGAACTTTGGTTGATGCCCTTTTTTTTCTTCGTAGACCATGACCTAGTCTAAGGTCAGCCTGGCCCTTCCAGGGATCATCTCTGCCATTGAGAGGGGAGATCCTGAGAATGCAAAGAGGAAAGTGAGATCCCTGAATATCCTGTGAACTTTAGAATCTAGCTATGCCAAAAGCACATCCCTGGACTTTCTTGCTCCCGTTGATTATTAGTTCCCTGTTAGTCTCCACTAAAAAAATAACAAACAGATAAAAATAAGGTTTTTCCCCCCTTCAAAAATGCAATAAGGAACATTTTAATAAAAAGTGGTGGAGGTAAGTTGGGGGCTTATTCTGAAGTATATGCACAGAACAGGACTGGAACCCTTCCAAATTCGAGATCCCTGTAAGATCAAGCTACTTTTTCATTTTCTTTGCTTCTCCTTGTGTTTTATTTTTCTTTTCACTCTTAACTGTCATTTTCTCTCTGTTTTTGAATCAGTAAGGGTTCCTGATTTGTGAGCAACAGAAACTGACTTTGGCTATTATGAGCAAAAAGGAATTTTTGGATAGCTCACATGGGAAAAGAACTTTGAGTAGATCACAGAATTAAGAAGAAGTCTGGAGCACTGGACTCAGAAACCATAGCAGTCTCAGAACACATGTCTTTCTCTTGTTTTTCTCGGAGTCTCCATTTCTCTTTTGTACCCAGTGTTATCTTGAATCTTCCTTCCCACTCTTGTATGGAAGACCTTGAATTTGAAATCATGAAACACAGACGTTGTCTTCCCCTTAATGCTTTGGACCTAATCAAGCCTTATTAATCAGTTTTATTTCAATGTAATTTTGAATCTTTTCTTGAGAGCAGAGTTTTATAAAATGTGAGAAAATGTCCCAAAGAAGGTGACTCTTATAGGGCAAAGAGCAATGAAGTGGAGTCACGTGATCTGATCCATGAGGTGCCAAGTTCATTCTGAGCCACGAAGGTGTGCACGAACATTCCACATTTAGATGAGAAATACTTTGGCTCATGCTCCATTCTCTGGACCAAATCATCCGAGGGCAAAATTTCAAGGGGCTTCCCAGTACTGCCAGAGAAAACAGGCAAATATAGAAGACGACAGACCATGGACCATCTTAAGGACTTTGTAAGATTGAAAAAATCCTTTGTCTTTCTCTGTGTTGTTGCTGTTGTTATTGGTAACAATCATCATCGTGGTCATGGTCATCAACAGCACCGTTTATTGCAATACTTGCTCCACACCAGGGACTGGGCTCAGCATCGAGATGCATTGCCTACTTTAATCCTCTCAATAAATCTATAATGCCTACCATATTGATTTATTGAGAAGATTTATTGAACCTATATTATCGTATCACACCTGTTTAACGATCTGGCCTTCCTAGACTCTCAACTCCTTGAGGGAAAGGGCTTAGCAGCTGTTTCTAACTCAGCCTGCTGCCGAGTTTGGACTGCATGTTCATGTTGGAATTCCCTTGGTTTCTTTATCTCTCTATCTTTGATGGACCGCCGAATATTACCCCCACAGAGGCTTCCAAGGAAGAACTAATATTTCATTTCAAAGTGTATCCAAGACGGATTATTTGTAAAGTCAGGA